TTTGCCAGATTTGTAAATGTTGTTAATGTCATTGTAACCAGCACTGTTAAACACGTGTTTTTCTTTAGAAAACAAGAGACAAGGCCAACAGAATAATTTGTTTAGTTTATCACACCCACACAACCATGGAATAGCCTCATATAAACTGGTATTGAAATGCCGTGTGCAAGATTTCACTTTTGTATGTAAAGTTAGATTAGGCTTAGGTGCACCTTCTTCTATTATCTTAAGTTTCTCATTATAACTGAGTGAACTGAACGGTGTTTGAAGAAGTTTTTCAATCACACAGTGGTTATCACATGAAAGTGTCATGTTTCTATTTTTAACTTAACAGCAATCACAAAAACACTGGTCATAAAGTTATAATTACGCAAAGCAAAACAAATTCTGTATCGAGAAAAATACAGAATAATAACTAAACTGACTTGTGCATAAATGAGATGCTAACACCTTCTGAAAACTAATAAACACGCTTAACTGCCAGGTCACAGACTATTCTACTGCGAACTGCAATGCCTTACATCTGGCAACATTGCTGGAAGCACGAAGCTAGTAGCATACCATAACGGATAGCTCACTTACAGACAACATTGACATTGGTCAGCCAGTTAACCCAGGCGAGGGTGGAAGCGAAAGACCTGCTGCTTCCGCGCGTGTTGCAGTTTGAAGTTCCCTGCATTTTTGAAGAAAATAACTGATCTATCCTGATAAATTGTTTATGTAACACATTAAAACTTGCATAATTCTCATTATATGTAATATATGTTCTCAGATTAATTAATATTTTGAAGTATGAAATATTTTTTTGAAATTGAAATTTGCCAGAAATGTTCTTGGTTGCTTTTCTATAGGGAAGCAATGCTTCCACCACATCCATGTACCCTACGCCCCTGCACCTTATACAGTTCTTTCTAAAAAAGCACAGGGAAATATAATTGCAAATAATATCTAATAATTCAATTATTACAAATATCAGTTGTACTAAATTCTTTGGAATAAATGTTGATAGTACCTTAACTTGGAAGAACCATATTACGGATTTATCATTAAGGTTAAATAAGGCTTGTTATGCAATAAGAGCAATAAATCCATTTATGTCACTAGAATCAATGAGGATGATCTATTATTCCTATGTACATTCTTTACTGTCATACGGTATTATCTTTTGTGGTAATGCCCCTCATAATGAGAGTATCTTCAAAATTCAAAAAATAATAATAAGAGTTATATCTGGTTCGAGTAGACTTGATTCATGCCGGGGATTGTTTAAAAATTACAAATATTGCCACTTCAATCTCAGTACATTTTCTCCTTACTTCTTTTTGTCGTTAAGAACAGAAATTATTTTATAGCTGATACTGATATTCATGATATCAATACACGTTATAATCACAATTTATATTTACCTTCTACAAATCTATCAATAGTTCAAAAAGGAGTCCTTTTCTCGGGTAGCAAGATTTATAACCACTTACCCTCAAACATTAAATTGCTATCCAAAGATATTAAGGAATTCAAATTTTTATTAAAAAGCTATCTCACTGAATATGCTTTTTATAGTATTGATGAATATTATAAATCAACTTCTCAATGAACACCGTGTCTTGATTGTCTCTCCTACGGATAATATAATTACACAGCTTATGTATCTACTACAACTGTATCTGATCTTGTGCTGCCTGTCTATCTTGTGAAAGGAGTCTCGGTATATTCGGTTTTTGTTTCGTGGCTTGCTGTGTTGTTTATACAGCCACCCCCAAGAAAGACGATAGGAGAAATTGACACGAGCCTGCATGGTTTATAAAAATTTTAATTTTAAACAACTTTAAAAGTTTTAATACCAAGAAGACTGCTGCGCTTGTGATAAGTTGAACGCTGTGTAAATTGTGTACTTTAGACATTACATGTGTATGTAATTTTAACAACCATTGTAATAGTAGTTTCCAGAAAAAGTACTGATGCCCTCTGAAGATGATCCGTAAGGACTGAAACATGTAAGGGTGCTGAGTTTCTAAATGACAAAACAAAAATAGTCACACTGGAAAGAACTGATTTGTCTCTGTATTTTCCATATAGTTCACTAAAATTTTCAAGGGATTTACTATGTGAAAACCTAAATTCTGGAATAAATTTGGTACATTCTTGGGTACAGTCGGTGTTATCACAGCTAGGGTTGACTTCCAAACTGGCATGTTTCCTTATTTTTAATATAAAAGTTGTAACTACGTACATATTAAATATTGGGGCTAAGTATGCACTATGGTGTCTATGCTGAAATTGGCCTTTATTTACAGTTATTTAACATAACCTTTTTCAAATTTTTTATTTTGAGATTAGTCTGTAAAAACTTATAAATTATGCACCCCAACTGGTCTCTGTATTATAAATACACAAATTAACAGTTGCAGTTACGCACGATACAATATGTATACTTGCATCACTCACCCCACTTCTCGAAGGCACCTGTAACTTTATTTGCGTATTCATTGTAATCATTTAATGCATATGGTACAAACAGGATACGTGAAACATTGTACCTGCAAGGATGACAAAAGCACGAGGTATTAATATGGGTATAATGCATTATACTCGTATATCTAAGAACACTGGTACTTGAGCACTGGGCTCTTGTAATTTTAGTTACCATGCGGTCAAATGCCACAACTTACTTTTTCAAAAACTTATTTATGTCATCCGTTGCATAATGAAGATACTCGGAACCATACACTACAGAGGTAGACAAAAGTAATATACGCCTTTGTTGTGTATCCATGTGGCTCCTATATGTTAGACCTGCAAACCGTAAAGCTAACAGTTCATACCGTTGATACTAACCCGATTACAATATTATA